ATTTATCATTGATCCAAACACTCACTTATGTTTGAATTGTTTTCTTTTTAAGAGAGTATATTTTATCTTCAAACTTATTTCACAAGAATACTTAAACAAACGTGATCATTGATAACAATTTTATTAAACTAGAGCATGTGATTTCTTGTAAAAAAAAATGTTGTCTTTTCCCTCTAGACAGCATAACCGTGTCTCTAACAGTGACATGGACAGGGATTACAAGAAAATAACATTGGTTGACTGACATAATGAAGTTGAGGTCCAGCTGCAGGTATAAATATGCAGCAAACATTGAACACAAATCAGTAGCACAGAATTTACAACACAAAAACTTTCCCAAAAGACAACAACTTTAGAAGACTTTTTGTATGTATTGGGGAGTTATGGCAGGCAACATGGGATGGGGTGTGATAGAGGAACAAGGATGGAGGAAGGGTCCTTGGACTGCTGAAGAAGACAGATTGCTCATTCAGTATGTCAGATTGCATGGTGAAGGCAGATGGAACTCTGTTGCAAGACTTGCAGGTCCCTACTAAATTTTTCTTTTTTATCAGCAAATGTACTTGTTAGTGTTTTGTCTTTACACCTATTCTCTGAACAGGACTGAAAAGAAATGGAAAGAGCTGCAGACTGAGATGGGTGAATTACCTGAGACCAGACCTAAAGAAGGGTCAGATAACACCACAGGAAGAAAGCATAATTCAGGAGCTGCATGCTAGGTGGGGAAACAGGTAATTTTTGAAGGTTTTCTCAGCTTGTATATATGTTTATGATAAAACCGTGTGAAGCTAAATCAATAACGTTTCAGGTGGTCAACAATTGCAAGGAGCTTGCCAGGAAGAACTGACAATGAGATCAAGAACTATTGGAGGACCCATTTCAAGAAAAAGGCTAAAAGCCCTTCTGATGCTGCTGAGAAGGCTAGAATCCGTTCCTCAAGGAGGCAGCAATTTCAACAGCAACAACTGCAGTTGAAGCATCAGCAGCAGGTTCAGCAGCAGCAGCAATTCCAATTCAACTTGGACATAAAAGGGATCATAAACTTGCTTGAAGAAAATGATCACAGAGTCCCTTCTACATCTCAAGAGACACAAGAAATGGTTAACATGTGTCCAAACACTTCAGAGCAGCAGGGTTACTTCTACTCTATGTTCAATGTCAGTGACAATGTCTCTGCACCAGAGTCCTCAAACGAAGAAATTCTCTGGGATGGACTGTGGAACTTGGACGATGTTCTTTGCAATTTCAATGCAGCAAGTGCTACAAGCAAAACTAGTTTACACAATTTAGTCACTCCTTTCAGTTAAAGTTATTTTTCTTTTATCTATTTAGCCTTGAAAACTGCTAGAAAGATTTGTACTACAAATATGAGTCGCGGCTTGATAAGGCTCCTAAACAAGGAGCTCAGAGTTAGGATTAATTGTTTCTTGAATGTGTGCAAGTCAGTGTAGTGACTAGTGAGTGATTTTCTGAAGGTGAGTTTTATTGTAAAACCCCTTAATAAAGTGTCTCAAATTTTGCTCATAAAGTCTCAAATTTGTTTGCTTTTTTGCTTTTAAGTTAACAACTTTTCTTGCTGTAGGAAAGTGGAAGAAATGAACTAGATTTCCCTTTACATTTTCTTAATAATTCTCATTTCTCAGCTATTTTCTCCTCTTGCAATTGTCTGAAACCAAGGTGGAAGCAGAAGCTTAAAAATTTAGCAGACATTACATAAAGCAATTAAAGAAACTAAGTAAAACCCTTTGAGTCATTTCATTTGGATGATAAAGCTCTGTAGATAAGCAAATTTTAAACATAGATTATGATGAGATAGTTTTGGTATTATTGGTAAAACTCAACATAAAGCTTCTTCACACATCTTTTCTCACCTTATTCTTTTCGTCTATTTAACCAACACATACTACAAATTCTCTCTTTTTTTTTTCATTTATTGGTGAATAAAAATTTCTTAAACCAAGATAGAATTTGATTCTTTAATTCTCACACATCTTACGCAGTATATTTCATTTATTTAACAAATAATCTTTTTACGTGTTGATTACACCCTGAACATGTTTGAAGAAGGATCTCTGCTTCTGACATTCTGCAAGTATCTCAGAATCTGGAATTACAGAGGGAGAGATATTACCAGAAACGTAAGAATTTTTATTTTTATTTTTGTATTCGTACGGTTCAGGTTGATTATATTGACGTTAGAGAACTGATTATAAAAGAATCAATACTGAAATAATTAATTTATGTCCGAGAATTTATTTTAGGTGTTAATTATTATTTACGTTCTTAAGCACTTTTACTTCATTCAAAAACTAATTTCTACAAAATTTATTTAGTTTTCTAAACAGTTTCTGAGATTGCATTTAAGTAAAATAATTTATAAAGATTATTACAATAAGGTGTTTCGGGTTTGAGGTCAACAATTTGAAAATAATGTTCAATTCCAAGTTCTTCAGCTGCACTTAGTTCAGTAAATTAAAAGGTTACTTTTAGAAAAAATTTCAATATCAACATCAATAAAAATTCAGTTATTCAAATATTAATGTAGTATTACCATCACTTACATATTTACCTTCTATTTATATTTATAAATTTTAAAATAAACTTTTAATTAATTATGGTAATCAGATTTTATCTTAAAAGTGGTCAATGTTAATATCTTTTTACATTATATTGTCACAAAAAAACTTGATAAAATAAATAGTTCGATTTATGATACGAATCAAACTGTCATATTTTACAATACTTAAAAATAAACATTGTTGGATAAAATGAAAAAGAAAATGTACATATAAATTAGTCAATAATGAGTACTAATAGTTTAGTCCATTCTACTAAGAAGTCTTGAGGATAAAATTTTGACAGCAATTTTTTTTAAAGGTAATTGAAACTAATTATTAGTCTCAGTGGTAAATAGCTTAATAATCTTTAAGTTTCAAAACAATTTTCAAATACTAATAATATAAGGAAAAAAAATGATTATCTATTCATGCTATTATTACTTTTTTTTCTTCTTCTTCGCGTATTTAAATGATATTTTTTAATTCTTATAAATAGAAAGGGTAAAATATATGAATCTCAAAATAAATGGACTAAAGCAACCGAAGCGACATAGGAACCGAAATTCAACTATGATAACTTTTTTTTTTCTAACCCTTTTTAAAAGTGCGTAGCGATAATTTATAAAACAATTACTTAACAAACTTTAAATATTTATCATAAATTTAAAAATGAATGCAAATTATTATTCTCTACACCTGTACCTATTAAAAACATAAGAATGGCATAATAATCTCAGTTTTTTAATCAAAGGGAGAATATTAATGCATAATCTCCACTCACTCGAACCTAAAAATTATACCCTTGCTGCTACGCTGTGAAAGTAACTGAATGCATATAAATAAATATAAAATATCATTAATTCGTATTTATTGTCAAATCTTTATAGTTATATTTAAAAATCTACTAAATAGTTAAATTGAATGTAATGTATGATATACTTAAAAAAAAAACACATCCAAATATTAATTATAACATTAATAGTTATATTTTAACATATTTTTTTATTGAGAGTGAGGATCTAAGTTAAAGATATCAACGAGTCACATAGATATGTCTATTTGCAATAAAAAAAAGTTCTATTTGTTAACCATCGTTTAAAATTATTTACATATATTTTAAAACTCGTGAGTATTCATAAATATCTATTTTAAATTACATATTTTAAAAAAATATTTTATAATTTTTTAACACAAAATTAAAAAATATTTATAAATTAGATATAAATTAAAATTTAATTTTAATTTAATTTAATTTAATAAAATAAATAATATTTTAATTAAATATAATTTAACAAAATATAAATTAAATTTTAATTTTAATTTTTTATGAGTAACTAATACATAAAAGAATAATAATATTTCTTTATAAATAGATATTAAAATACTCTTATTTGAAAATAATAATTACTAACAGTTTGATTTTATTAACTCCAACACCAATATTTTTGTCATCCCAAATCTAGGCCATTATTAATTAATATTAAAATATTCAATGATTAAAATAGATTAATCTAATGATATGTAAAACGTTATTAAATATATTAAAATAATTATTTGTAAAGTAATATTAAGTACAAAGTTAGTGTAGCACAAATATGGTGTTATACCTGTCATTTTAACACATATCCCATTTGTTGACTCTAAACCTATTTAAAACTAAGTTTCTTACTTTTGAGGGTGTTTCATCTTGCACATCGAACACTTCACTTCCACCTCCAACTTTTACAAAAAACAAAATTCTTTGATAAATATTTTTTAACTTTTTCTCTTCTTATTAAAGTAACCTTGCACCCTTTTAACTCTGTAATCTTTTAATAAAAAATTTTAAAATTTTGTTTCTTATTTATAATTTAATTTAAAAATCTAATATTATTTAATATAATTTCATATTTTAAAAATTATTAAAATATAATTTGTATTATTATAATAGTTATATTCAAAAAGTTAAAATTAAAATAATTAAAATAAAAGTAATAATAATAAAAATAAAGAAAAATATAAAATCTGATTTAATATATATATATAAATATTAAATTATATTAAAATATTAAATTAAATTAAATTATTATTAAATTTTAAATAGAAAATAAAATTTAAAAAAAAAATAATATACAAAAATTAAAAAATAAAGTTTTAAATTGTTATTAAATTATAAATAAATTTTTTTAATTTATCACGTCAATACAATTCTATACTAATTCTCACAATTTTTATTTTGACAAAAAAATTTATCTTCAAATCCTCTGAAATCTCTTCAAACTTCTTCCTTCCTAGATCCTGTCTTGAATTCCTAATATTAAAAAAAAAATTAATCCCTGATATTGAACATAATCTTATAAAGTCAAATGGATTCCACAAAACTAACAAATTATAGTTTCTTTTGTTTTTTTTTTTTCTTATCTTTGGTCCAAAGAGTAGAGATGTCATTTCAGCCCCTGGCCCATGGGTTGACCCTAACCCCTTCTAAAATCAAGCCCCAATTTTCTAGCCCCTTTAATAGGGGGCTTTTTAAAAGCCCCAACTCCTAAAGCCCCACATAAAGTGGGCTGGGGTAGGGTTAGGATGGGGCTAGCCCCCAAACTAAATTAATTCACTTTTAATGTTTTTTTAGTTATTTCTTTTATTTACTTTACAAGTTCAATAATTTTCAAAATTTACATGATATTTAATATCTTTTTAATTAAATATAAATGTATAAATATTAATTTTATAAAAATTTATTTAAAATAATTTTTTAATTATAAGTATATTTTAAATATATAATTTTATTATTTTGGAAAGTTAAAAAAGAAAATTATTATTATTTTTTTTATTTAAAAGAAAATGAAAAAAATTTCAAAAAATAAACTATAAAATTAACACAGTTGAAAATTCGATTTTTCAATAATCGAATTATGATATCTATATAAATATTTGAAATATTAATTATGGATAGATTTTAAATTCAAATCTACTNAGACTTGCAGGTCCCTACTAAATTTTTCTTTTTTATCAGCAAATGTACTTGTTAGTGTTTTGTCTTTACACCTATTCTCTGAACAGGACTGAAAAGAAATGGAAAGAGCTGCAGACTGAGATGGGTGAATTACCTGAGACCAGACCTAAAGAAGGGTCAGATAACACCACAGGAAGAAAGCATAATTCAGGAGCTGCATGCTAGGTGGGGAAACAGGTAATTTTTGAAGGTTTTCTCAGCTTGTATATATGTTTATGATAAAACCGTGTGAAGCTAAATCAATAACGTTTCAGGTGGTCAACAATTGCAAGGAGCTTGCCAGGAAGAACTGACAATGAGATCAAGAACTATTGGAGGACCCATTTCAAGAAAAAGGCTAAAAGCCCTTCTGATGCTGCTGAGAAGGCTAGAATCCGTTCCTCAAGGAGGCAGCAATTTCAACAGCAACAACTGCAGTTGAAGCATCAGCAGCAGGTTCAGCAGCAGCAGCAATTCCAATTCAACTTGGACATAAAAGGGATCATAAACTTGCTTGAAGAAAATGATCACAGAGTCCCTTCTACATCTCAAGAGACACAAGAAATGGTTAACATGTGTCCAAACACTTCAGAGCAGCAGGGTTACTTCTACTCTATGTTCAATGTCAGTGACAATGTCTCTGCACCAGAGTCCTCAAACGAAGAAATTCTCTGGGATGGACTGTGGAACTTGGACGATGTTCTTTGCAATTTCAATGCAGCAAGTGCTACAAGCAAAACTAGTTTACACAATTTAGTCACTCCTTTCAGTTAAAGTTATTTTTCTTTTATCTATTTAGCCTTGAAAACTGCTAGAAAGATTTGTACTACAAATATGAGTCGCGGCTTGATAAGGCTCCTAAACAAGGAGCTCAGAGTTAGGATTAATTGTTTCTTGAATGTGTGCAAGTCAGTGTAGTGACTAGTGAGTGATTTTCTGAAGGTGAGTTTTATTGTATAACCCCTTAATAAAGTGTCTCAAATTTTGCTCATAAAGTCTCAAATTTGTTTGCTTTTTTGCTTTTAAGTTAACAACTTTTCTTGCTGTAGGAAAGTGGAAGAAATGAACTAGATTTCCCTTTACATTTTCTTAATAATTCTCATTTCTCAGCTATTTTCTCCTCTTGCAATTGTCTGAAACCAAGGTGGAAGCAGAAGCTTAAAAATTTAGCAGACATTACATAAAGCAATTAAAGAAACTAAGTAAAACCCTTTGAGTCATTTCATTTGGATGATAAAGCTCTGTAGATAAGCAAATTTTAAACATAGATTATGATGAGATAGTTTTGGTATTATTGGTAAAACTCAACATAAAGCTTCTTCACACATCTTTTCTCACCTTATTCTTTTCGTCTATTTAACCAACACATACTACAAATTCTCTCTTTTTTTTTTCATTTATTGGTGAATAAAAATTTCTTAAACCAAGATAGAATTTGATTCTTTAATTCTCACACATCTTACGCAGTATATTTCATTTATTTAACAAATAATCTTTTTACGTGTTGATTACACCCTGAACATGTTTGAAGAAGGATCTCTGCTTCTGACATTCTGCAAGTATCTCAGAATCTGGAATTACAGAGGGAGAGATATTACCAGAAACGTAAGAATTTTTATTTTTATTTTTGTATTCGTACGGTTCAGGTTGATTATATTGACGTTAGAGAACTGATTATAAAAGAATCAATACTGAAATAATTAATTTATGTCCGAGAATTTATTTTAGGTGTTAATTATTATTTACGTTCTTAAGCACTTTTACTTCATTCAAAAACTAATTTCTACAAAATTTATTTAGTTTTCTAAACAGTTTCTGAGATTGCATTTAAGTAAAATAATTTATAAAGATTATTACAATAAGGTGTTTCGGGTTTGAGGTCAACAATTTGAAAATAATGTTCAATTCCAAGTTCTTCAGCTGCACTTAGTTCAGTAAATTAAAAGGTTACTTTTAGAAAAAATTTCAATATCAACATCAATAAAAATTCAGTTATTCAAATATTAATGTAGTATTACCATCACTTACATATTTACCTTCTATTTATATTTATAAATTTTAAAATAAACTTTTAATTAATTATGGTAATCAGATTTTATCTTAAAAGTGGTCAATGTTAATATCTTTTTACATTATATTGTCACAAAAAAACTTGATAAAATAAATAGTTCGATTTATGATACGAATCAAACTGTCATATTTTACAATACTTAAAAATAAACATTGTTGGATAAAATGAAAAAGAAAATGTACATATAAATTAGTCAATAATGAGTACTAATAGTTTAGTCCATTCTACTAAGAAGTCTTGAGGATAAAATTTTGACAGCAATTTTTTTTAAAGGTAATTGAAACTAATTATTAGTCTCAGTGGTAAATAGCTTAATAATCTTTAAGTTTCAAAACAATTTTCAAATACTAATAATATAAGGAAAAAAAATGATTATCTATTCATGCTATTATTACTTTTTTTTCTTCTTCTTCGCGTATTTAAATGATATTTTTTAATTCTTATAAATAGAAAGGGTAAAATATATGAATCTCAAAATAAATGGACTAAAGCAACCGAAGCGACATAGGAACCGAAATTCAACTATGATAACTTTTTTTTTTCTAACCCTTTTTAAAAGTGCGTAGCGATAATTTATAAAACAATTACTTAACAAACTTTAAATATTTATCATAAATTTAAAAATGAATGCAAATTATTATTCTCTACACCTGTACCTATTAAAAACATAAGAATGGCATAATAATCTCAGTTTTTTAATCAAAGGGAGAATATTAATGCATAATCTCCACTCACTCGAACCTAAAAATTATACCCTTGCTGCTACGCTGTGAAAGTAACTGAATGCATATAAATAAATATAAAATATCATTAATTCGTATTTATTGTCAAATCTTTATAGTTATATTTAAAAATCTACTAAATAGTTAAATTGAATGTAATGTATGATATACTTAAAAAAAAAACACATCCAAATATTAATTATAACATTAATAGTTATATTTTAACATATTTTTTTATTGAGAGTGAGGATCTAAGTTAAAGATATCAACGAGTCACATAGATATGTCTATTTGCAATAAAAAAAAGTTCTATTTGTTAACCATCGTTTAAAATTATTTACATATATTTTAAAACTCGTGAGTATTCATAAATATCTATTTTAAATTAAATATTTTAAAAAAATATTTTATAATTTTTTAACACAAAATTAAAAAATATTTATAAATTAGATATAAATTAAAATTTAATTTTAATTTAATTTAATTTAATAAAATAAATAATATTTTAATTAAATATAATTTAACAAAATATAAATTAAATTTTAATTTTAATTTTTTATGAGTAACTAATACATAAAAGAATAATAATATTTCTTTATAAATAGATATTAAAATACTCTTATTTGAAAATAATAATTACTAACAGTTTGATTTTATTAACTCCAACACCAATATTTTTGTCATCCCAAATCTAGGCCATTATTAATTAATATTAAAATATTCAATGATTAAAATAGATTAATCTAATGATATGTAAAACGTTATTAAATATATTAAAATAATTATTTGTAAAGTAATATTAAGTACAAAGTTAGTGTAGCACAAATATGGTGTTATACCTGTCATTTTAACACATATCCCATATGTTGACTCTAAACCTATTTAAAACTAAGTTTCTTACTTTTGAGGGTGTTTCATCTTGCACATCGAACACTTCACTTCCACCTCCAACTTTTACAAAAAACAAAATTCTTTGATAAATATTTTTTAACTTTTTCTCTTCTTATTAAAGTAACCTTGCACCCTTTTAACTCTGTAATCTTTTAATAAAAAATTTTAAAATTTTGTTTCTTATTTATAATTTAATTTAAAAATCTAATATTATTTAATATAATTTCATATTTTAAAAATTATTAAAATATAATTTGTATTATTATAATAGTTATATTCAAAAAGTTAAAATTAAAATAATTAAAATAAAAGTAATAATAATAAAAATAAAGAAAAATATAAAATCTGATTTAATATATATATATAAATATATATATATAAATATTAAATTATATTAAAATATTAAATTAAATTAAATTATTATTAAATTTTAAATAGAAAATAAAATTTAAAAAAAAAATAATATACAAAAATTAAAAAATAAAGTTTTAAATTGTTATTAAATTATAAATAAATTTTTTTAATTTATCACGTCAATACAATTCTATACTAATTCTCACAATTTTTATTTTGACAAAAAAATTTATCTTCAAATCCTCTGAAATCTCTTCAAACTTCTTCCTTCCTAGATCCTGTCTTGAATTCCTAATATTAAAAAAAAAATTAATCCCTGATATTGAACATAATCTTATAAAGTCAAATGGATTCCACAAAACTAACAAATTATAGTTTCTTTTGTTTTTTTTTTTTCTTATCTTTGGTCCAAAGAGTAGAGATGTCATTTCAGCCCCTGGCCCATGGGTTGACCCTAACCCCTTCTAAAATCAAGCCCCAATTTTCTAGCCCCTTTAATAGGGGGCTTTTTAAAAGCCCCAACTCCTAAAGCCCCACATAAAGTGGGCTGGGGTAGGGTTAGGATGGGGCTAGCCCCCAAACTAAATTAATTCACTTTTAATGTTTTTTTAGTTATTTCTTTTATTTACTTTACAAGTTCAATAATTTTCAAAATTTACATGATATTTAATATCTTTTTAATTAAATATAAATGTATAAATATTAATTTTATAAAAATTTATTTAAAATAATTTTTTAATTATAAGTATATTTTAAATATATAATTTTATTATTTTGGAAAGTTAAAAAAGAAAATTATTATTATTTTTTTTATTTAAAAGAAAATGAAAAAAATTTCAAAAAATAAACTATAAAATTAACACAGTTGAAAATTCGATTTTTCAATAATCGAATTATGATATCTATATAAATATTTGAAATATTAATTATGAATAGATTTTAAATTCAAATCTATTGATTGGATAAATTTTTAATATCGGTGTAAAATTTTTATTTTTTATAGTTTGTCATATAAAATTCTTTTGTTGAATGTTTTGTATAGATATATATACATTAAAAAATTAAACCACAAACTTTGTAAAGTTTAAAATTAATTTCATGTAATAAAAGAACTAACTTTTTAGTGAAAATCCTTGTTAGGCAAAATTCTTATAAATATCATATATGTTAGTATACAAGATCTAGATGTAATCCTAGTGGTTATAAAATCATATTTTTTTTCTAACCTTTTAGATTAAATTAATATTTTAAAATCATACTTATCTTTACCCAACAAAGATCGTTTTTATTGAAATATTTATCATAATTGAGCCGATTGTAATAAAAAATAATTAAATAATAGATACAATATTTTTAAATAAATATAATGTTATAATTTATAATACTAAAATTAAAATTATTATTGTATTTAATTATTAACATATAAAATAAATAAAAATTATAATAATAAATAAATTACATCAATGTCTCTTAATAAGAAACTAATAAAAAAGACAAATGAATATAATATAAAATATATGAAAAAGACATAAAAATATATAAATTGATGTAAATGACTAAATAATATGTTTCATAAAATTTTTTTTAAAAGAATTATATAACTTTGTAAATAATAAATATTAATTTTATTAAATTTGGAAAATTAAAAAAGTTAAAAAGTTATTAAGTCAAAATTTTAACATGTTCACACCAATTAAAAATAATGTAATTTTGATCACAAATCTTAATCGAATGATATTGATTTAAACTAGTGACAAAATAGATTACCATCTATAAATAAATTCGTTAGTCCATCAAAATTTTACATATTAAATTAAATTTTTTAACTTTTAAACCTATTTTATGTGGATATCTCTGAACCGTCAAATTTACAAACCAAAATTAAGAAACCAAAATTAAGATGAAAAAATTATCAAAACAAAATTTGAAAATTAAGAAATAATTGTATAAAAGCATTATTATTAAACTAATTAATATAGAAACAGTTATGAAGTAGAAAATTAATTTTATTGGTAAAAAAATATAATTATACATGAATCAATTATGGTTATAAGTTATTACTAACAAAGATAAAATGAAAGCTAGATAAAAAATACATATGATTTGTGATTACTTGTATAATGATATTATGTTTCTAGACGTTAAATTTTGTAAAAATGAAAGCCCATGGGCTGGCCCTGGCCTATAGGGCTTTAGGGGTTTTTAGTCCTGTGAACTTTTTTAATAAAGAGTTTTTTTGGCCCTGTGAGCTTTTTTGGCCCCAACCCACATGGGCTAGGGCCAAATCTTATTAAAGAGCCTTTGACAGCTCTACCAAAGAGCATTAATATATATAGTTTTTTAATTTTTATTTTCTGTCTTTGATCTTGATTGTCGATTTCACATGATAGAGATACTTGTAAAGACATTATCATGTTGAAATCAATATTGTATCGATAGTTTGTTTTTAAACCTTTTTACTTTGAATACTTACTTATTTATAGTATTTTTTTTTTATCAGGGAGGAAGAAAGTTAAAGAAGGAAGAAACAATGAGAAAATGCTGGAACCCTATAGTTTCAAGTTGATAAATTTATTTTATAATTTTAGGAATTTATGGTGATTTTAATGGAGCTGGTGTGGAAGCCTAGTACAAAACCACGTTGCCCTGTTGTGCAAATGGAAACATATCTCAAATGTCTGTTTCATCTTAAACCGCCAAAATTCAAACTCAACGCAACTTCTGGTTCTTATGGTTCTGAAGAGGGCATTTACATTTGCCCTAATAACCTGTCGTTATTACACTTCTGCCATTCCCTCTCTCCCGCTTACACAGCACAGTCTCCTACGTCTGCTTCAACTCTGCATCGACCTTCGAGCTCAGAAACTCGCTCAACAATCTCACGCTCAGATCCTCGCCAATGGATATGCGCAAAACGTTTTCCTCGCCACAAGGCTCGTCTCTGCATACGCCACGTGTGGCGGGTTGAGATCGTCAAGGTCTGTCTTTGAGTCCGTTGAGGCCAAGAACGTTTACATCTGGAACTCACTGATTAATGGGTACGTTAAAAACCACAACTTTCTCCAAGCCTTTGATTTGTTTGGAGAAATGGGTCGCAATGGTGTGTTGCCCGATGACTACACTCTCGCGACGGTTTTCAAAGTTTCTGGTGAACTTGAGGACTTGGTTTCCGGGAGATTGATTCATGGGAAGAGTGTAAGGGTTGGGTTTCTGTCGGATGTTGTTGTTGCGAATTCTCTGATGGCAATGTAAAGTAGGTGTGGGGAGTTTGCTCTAGCAGTGAAGGTGTTTGAGGAAATGCCTCAGAGGAATGTGGGTTCGTTCAATGTTGTAATTTCTGGGTGTGCTGCCTTGGGAATTTGTAATTCTCCCTCCCATGATTATTTGTGGAAGTTTTTTTTACGAATGCAATGTGAGGGGTTTATGGCCGATGCTTTTACCGTTGCGAGTTTGCTGCCTGTGTGTTGTGGCGATTCTGGGAGGGAGCTTCACTGTTTCGTGGTGAAGAATGGGTTTGATTCGAAGATGGGTTTAGAGGTGCATATGGGGTCTTCTTTGATTGATATGTATTCTAGGAGTAAGAGAGTTGTTATCGGAAGGAGAGTGTTTGACCAAATGAAAAACAGAAATGTGTATGTTTGGACGGCAATGATCAATGGTTATGTGCAGAATGGAGCACCTGAGGATGCATTGGTTCTTCTTCGTGAGATGCAAATGAAGGATGGGATACGACCCAATAAAGTATCACTTGTTAGTGTACTTCCCGCTTGTGCCTCGCTTGCTGGATTAACAGGAGGGAAACAAATACATGGGTTTTCTATTAAAATGGAGTTAAACGATGATGTTTCCCTATGCAATGCTTTGATTGACATGTATTCCAAAAGTGGGAGTTTGGATTATGCAAGACGGGCATTTGCATCTGATTCCTATCTCAAAGATGCTATAAGTTGGAGTTCAATGATCTCTGCGTATGGATTACACGGGAGAGGAGAAGAAGCTGTAATTACTTATCACAAAATGCTTCAGGAAGGGTTCAAACCAGACATGATAACAGTGGTTGGTGTTCTTTCTGCTTGTAGCAAGTCAGGATTGGTAGATGAAGGCATTAGTATATATAAGTCGCTGATAACTAAGTATGATATAAAACCAACAGTTGAAATTTGTGCTTGTGTTGTGGATATGTTAGGTAGATCAGGCCAGCTTGATCAAGCCTTGGAATTCATCGTAGAAATGCCTTTAGATCCTGGTCCAAGTGTTTGGGGATCTCTGTTAACTGCCTCTGTAATGCATGGGAATTCAAGGACAAGAGACCTGGCTTATAGACATCTCTTAGAGCTGGAACCTGAAAACCCTTCAAATTATATATCCCTTTCAAATACATACGCTTCCTCTAGAAGATGGGATGTGGTAAGTGAGGTGAGAACAACGATGAAAGAAAGAGGTTTAAAAAAGATTCCAGGTTGCAGTTGGATAACTGTTAGTGGTAAAACTCATTCTTTTTGTGTTGCTGACAAAGCACATCCTTCGTCTAGTTTAATATATGGAATGCTTGATGACCTTGTATCAATTATGTCAGATGGTTGTGCTGATAGTGATATCCTGATTTGAATCTTCTGGTATTGATGTGCTGCAAATTTTGAAGTGCTGGTAGACACTGAAAACTGGCCAGGCCAGCCATTCTAGCTTAGCCATCTCTGAAACCATCTGCTTTGTGATACTTCAAGACCCAACTAGATGAATTCATTACTTGAGTGACAAAAGCGGTAGAAAAGCCCGAACTTACAGGTGGTTTTAGTTCATATGGTTAACTTTATTTTGAACATGGTGAGTGCAAACGTTTTCCGCGATACTGAGCAACTAATCAATATGCAGATGAGATGCATGGAGGTTCACATGCAGCCTTACCATCGTGAAGAAGAAAAGGGGAGGGGAGGAAAAACCGTTTCCTTCAAAACAAGCCCATTTTGCAGCATTGGTGTCAAAATATAGCTACCCACTATGATGGGACTGGAAAATGGGGATCCGCATGGGGTCCACATTCTGATTTACGACCTGGATGGCAAAGATCTCCGTTTCAAATATAATAGCATGATTCAACAATCCATGCCTCCACGGGAAAAAATTATGTGAATCAACTGTTTCAAATTCTTTAGTTTTTCAGGGTTGTTAGTTCGAATGCTTTCTTCGATAGTTTACCATAATTATTTGGGTGAATTATAATTCTATTCCATCAAATACAGGATCATGAGATGTTGTATAGGAGGATAAATGAAAGTGGATACAGGATATAGGAATATTTGTATTTTCCTGGAGTGTTACTGCTTCAGCATGAAATTGATTTACAATTTAGTTAATATGAAAATGAAGACAGTATCCATGACTTAGATGAACAATCTTATAACAATTTAGTTACTTGTATCAATTCCAAAATTTTAATGTAATGTCTTTAATTGAAATGGATTGTATTCGAGATACCGTACAAAAATATTATACATTCTAAGCAAGAAATCTAGATTGTAGTTTACTATTATAATATATTTTATTGTGTTTTTTGCATATAGACTACGCAATTTTGCATTTAATATACTCTAGGCACTTTTTGTTAACATAATGTAATTAGTAAAGCAATTGCATATAGGTGAAGTGCATTATAATAGTGCATTTTTATATGAAGTCAATCCTACATTTTTCTATCTTTGTTGATTTAGTAGTCACTTAAAAAATTATTTCTTATGACAATTTTGGAAGGAAAAGTAGTAATGTCTCTATGAAAATTATATATAAATACGAATACCCATTTTAGTAATTATACACTCAAAATCAATTTTGAAAACAAATTTCCAAACAACATTTAATATGAAAATCATATCACTTTATGTCATCCAAAAACAATCACGTTACTTTTAAATCACTCAGTCAAAATCAATTTTACAAATTCACATCAATTAAAATCAATTTGTTCAACGCATGTACACACACACCCTAAGTCTCCCTTATACTGATAATATTATTGTAACATATAAATTAATTTAGTAAGTCTTAAACATACAAGTACCCTATTAATTTTTTTAAATAATCTTCGATTTAATTTGGAACCCCCAAATGTAATATATATATATATATATATATATATATATATATATATATATATATATATTCAAAATAAATAGAGCTAATATCGTGCCAAAACCCATGAGTCAAAGAAAGTGAAGTAACATCTACAGTACTTGCAAGTCCAAAGAGAGGTAACATGTACAGCACAATCCAATGTATCATGTTGCTGACATTAACTTTCAGAACAGTGATTTTGGATGGCATTCATGCCGATGCAAGACAATGAAAATGATCCAAGCTAAGTTACAATATTAATATTAAAGTGACACCTATTAATTAAACCCTCCAACCTAAATTTTTCAATGATATTTTTGTTTCATGACCTTACCAAAGGTAAGAAATGAAACTACCCTAATAAATATGTCACCTCCATATATCTCTTCTTGGCATAAACCACAATAATTGGCTCGCGTGAACGATCCTTATCATCAGGATGACAGATCAAAATTTACATCTAGAATTGAGTAAACATCAGCAAGGGAAGACACCTTGAAATCTGGTTTGAATTCAACATCAGCATACTCGGGAGAATCATATATTCCTTTTTGATCAAGCAAGCATGTAAAGGCTCCTGCTCGCTTCCCGCAAGCCACCTGTAAAAGGGTTAAGCAAGCAATAAAGCATAAATCAATTAGCAGCCAATTTCAAATATGATAAATATACTAAGAAAATAGAGCATAAATGGAAAGGAATTTGTTTGCAGCTGTGTTGGAAATAGTAATTCGTTTTACAAATATAAAACAACTCTCAATTAAATTTGGCAGGCTTTCGCACAAAACAAAGACTACTTTGCCTCCCACATGAACAGATTGCTACTATTAAATTTAACAGTAAATACAATTTCCTCTATTCATCATAGTTTTGGGGGACTATAAACATGGGTAAATTAACATCATATGGCACTGAATAGTCAAGGAAATGTAATTTACCATATAACTTATTGTGTTTACCTTATACGAAAATCCTTTTGTCTCTCACCATAGTTAAGGAAATGTTAAAAGCATATAATTTATCCTTTTGTTATACATAGCTTACTCCCCTTGTGTACACTTACTAATGCAGCACAATCTTCATTCTTTGACTGATCAAATGCAGATATTTGTAGCGGTATAAAACTTACAGATAAAATAATGATAAAATTAAAATACCACTAGGTAAATAAAATAAGGACCCAAGTCACAGGATTTATATACTGCAAGCAAACAGACTAGTTTGCATACTGATGCTGAATATTTTTACTATGAGAGATTTGAAGAAATGCTCTTATTTCTCTAGATTCAGGATTTTGTTACCACAATATTTAATGTTCTGCTTTTGATTTTGCAATTATTCCTATTATGTATTTGTAATCAAATGTGAAAAGAGAAACCAAGAAGAGCCGTGAGCATTTTTCCCAAATAATGATGATGATAAGAATCACTGCACTTGAAATTGTACAATGCACAGCTGCAATGAAAAGTGTGACCTTTGAATACTCACGTTAGGAAAATAATCACTTACATCATCTTTAAGGCTGTCCCCAATCATTATTACTTCATTCGGTTGAACATCCCAAAGAGAACAAATATGCAGTAGTGGAGCTGGATCAGGTTTATAAGGAAGAAATTCCCTGCTTAATGCTGGAAAAAATGTAATCTGCAGCATTGAGAGATAATATATAGTTGTTCAACATTTTAAAAGAAAGAAGAGTTAGAGGTTTAACCTTACACTAAAAATTCAGTCTTCAAGTCACAATCAATAATGGTGACTTTATGACGGATGTACCACCATAGATAGCACATTTTAGAAAGGAGTTTTTTTAAAACTGTCTTTATAATGTTACACCAACTTTTTTTTACAATAATGGAAATGTAATGTAATAAGATACCATTCTATACAAGCATCCATCCAGCAACTATATAACTTCATTTTCAAACTGATGTATGTCATACCTACGGACAAAAGAAAGCAGCAGGGAAAAATCCCTGACTCTGTCACGCTCTTCTAGTTTATATTGGCATAATATCATAGCAAAGCCAAAGACAAAGATCAAATAGGAGAAAAGTGGACAACCTAATTTCACAAATAATTTCCCGTATCAATCCAATCCAACTGTCCTAGACAGAGAAAATTAGTATATATACATACACACAGTTGCATTTGTTGACAAACTCACCCCAAATCGTTCATGGAATAAATCAACTGCTGACTTCATGTTCCTAGTGATCAAACCCCTCCTATTGAAAAAAAGCTATATACCATGAGTAATTTATTCACATTTTATAACAAACAAGATCAAAATGTCTACTGTAAAAAAAATCATACTATCCTTATCTTCTTGGGACAACAACTTCAAACAAATGGAAACACAGTTAGCTAAAAAATACTTTTTTTCACAAAATAAACTTCATATTGTAAAATCTTCTAGAACAGGTCGAAGATATGTGCTGCAGTAAAAAACAAATAATCAATTGATTTTATCAACTCATTGCCTTGGTGTCTAGATGTTGTCAACAAATCTTAGCATAGACATACAGTATGGATAAATAAAAGGACAACTTAAATGTAGTTCCTAAAATGCTTATGGTATTAGTTTTTTGGGTCAGAATTAGATTTTTACCTCAGTAATAAAGATTCGCATAGGCTTCTGAGATAAAGTTTTAATTTCAATAGGAAAAAGATTACCAAAAGTACATTCACATAAACTGAATCTAAGTCTGTCCTAAGAAAAGATAGAACAAAACTGATTGCTTAAATATTTTGAGCATTGTTCTCTTGTCATAACTGAGAAAACAACTCGGTAATCTGTCTTGACCTTTAATACAAATATTCATCACACATACTAAGCTGAACTTTTAACTATTTATTGGAAACCGTGAAAAGTGAGTTTCATCACAAAAATACGTCAGTTGTCCAAATTAAACAATGCGCCTAGGTTCACATGTATATTTAGAGTTGCTTCGAGCAACTTTGCCATTAGAGATTGGAGGTTGTTGAGATAGCAATGAAAATTGCTTAAAAAAAGTTTGAGCTCCTTGCAGAAATAATTATTGTTTATAATAAAAAAATATTATCTTCATAAATATTATTATATATTATAATCAAGTTTAAATGAAAAAATATATTAAGTAACGAGTTAGTTGGAGTTATTGACAATGCTTCTACTAATAGAATGTAGGTCGATATGCTATTGTTGGACCCACTTTTATGCAAGAAACTCGTAGATTGCTCCTGTATGAGATGCCCTAAGAAACAGGACCGATAACCAATATGGCGTTTAACTGAATCTCAATTCGCAAAGAGCAGAGAACAGAAGAAGAAGAAGAAGAAGAAGAAGAAGAAGAAAGTGCGCTTAACTGAACCTTATTTTCTTGGAATCAAGAATAGCACAAAGCTCCGAAGCACCTGCAGAACGAGCATGAAAACTGTGCTGACTTCATGTGAAAGAGAGAAAGGAAGAGAAATGGATGCAAACCAGGCATGATTTGGAGGCGTTCGAGACCCTGACGCTCGACCTCGGCGATGGCATCGTAGGCCTTGTGCTTTTCATGAGGAGGCCAAGTCTCGATGTGACCCAAAATGTCGATGCCGGAAGGGTTTTCCGCCTTCAGCCTGAGGTACTCCGCATCGCCGAGCACCGCCCTGTACATGGCCGGAAAATCGATGACAGGGACAGTGAGGGTGCCGTCCATGTCGAAAACGACGCCTCTGAGACGCGTTTTGAGTGCGGGAGGATGAGAGGACATTAGCCTGGAGAAGCTAAAGGCTTTGGCGGAATTGGATATGAGCAATGGCATTCCCAATCTCTGCTTTCTTCTTCGCTCATCGCATTTTTCGTCCCACTCTTCTAAAATCTTCTTATACACTATTTAGTTAGCTACCTCTTAATTCACAATTTTTTCATTTTTCATTACCTTAATCCTTTAGAAAAACCTTTCAAATGGCTTCAAAACATGTGATTAACAGAAAAAATATATATATATATATATACACTTTACGAAAATTAAAATTAATAGTAAAAACCAAAACCCCAATAAAAAATTAAACAATTTTTGTAAAAATAATATAATTTTATTTATTTAAATAAAAAACTTATTGATATTTAATTTATATTTCTATTAACTTGTTGGGTAGATTAAGAGAATCTTTTTATTTAACAGTTAGGTAGGAGGAGATATTTTCTGACATGACATGACCTTTGTCCACCACAAAAGGATAATATTGGATTTTTTAAACCAATTTCATTTTCAAACTTTGGTTTATTTATTTTTTCCACCATTTTTTCTATGATAGATGATGGATGCATCAGCGGTGAGTTTGGTGGCGAAGAAGATGACGGAGGCATCATTCTTCGGTTACTTTTGGTTTCTTGTTTCAATGATTTTTTCTTCAAATATAAATGCAATCTTTGTGGATAAAAAGTTTCAATAATATATATAGGATATAGGCCCCGAGGGTATTATACAGAAAAAACAAAATTTACTATTATTTCTTTCCATATACAATTTTTTCACTAAATTTCTTTAATCTAATTAAAATAACTCTATTCTTATTTTAATTTTTCTTTTTATTTATTTATTTTTCTCTCCATTTGTGTCTTTCTTTTGTTATTTTAATCATAATCAATACGATAAGTATCAACACAAAATCCATTAAAGTATATGAGTTTAAGAAAAGTATTTTTTTTTTACATGGCTAAATTACAGCGTGACTCATTATTAAAAAAATATCGCTACTTATTTTCCTTTATCATTTATTTTAAATAAATTAGGATTAAACATGTTTTTGTCTACGATTTTAGTTTTTCTCCTTTAAAATTATGATTTATTTTTATTTTCTCTTTTTAGAAAATCTTAAATTAATTTTTCACTTCAAAATTTTGATCTACTTTTATTTTTCTCTTTTTGAAAAATCTCATATGTAATTCTCCATAACATACAAGGTTAATGTTTTTTTAACATGACTAACTGTATGTCATATAATCTATTGGATATAATAGCACATGGTTGCCACATATTTAATTTTATTTTTTGGATTAAAATTAACTTTTGATGAGGTGAGTATTGTTCAAGGAGAACTACTGCATTGTAATTTTCTTCATTCACTCAAGATTAGAGTTTTCATGTTTACATAATAAAGTAGTTAAAAGTGTTTAATGCTGTGTCAGTGGATTTTGGTAGTTAATAAAATAAGTTAGATAATTTAGCTTTTATTTATAAAACATAATATAAGTATTATAATTATTTTATGTATTTATTTAAATTTTTATAATAAATATAATTTATTTATGTTTAATGAAATATGAATTTTATTATAAGCTTAGTATGCTTTCATGTGCTTTTAATACAATATAAATAGCCTAATATTTTATTTTTATGTATTTATTTATATTTTTTATAAATGATATAATTTGATTATGTTATGTAAAATTGTTGGTTTAATTTGAAACCAAATGAAAACATATAGACTGTAAAAGTAATAGGAGTAAAAACATATTTGTAGTTATTTTTTTTGTTATAATTTTTTATCTATAAAAGTTCTAGTTGATATAGACAAATCTAATGTTAATAGAAGAGATTAAAGTTATACTTGAACTTAAGAAGATAAAAATTATATATATATATATATATATATATATATATATTCCATATGAGTAGATTTTCATCAGAAAAAGATTACTACATATCTTCAATAAAAAAACTCTTTCTGACCAAGTTTTCTTTTGTAGACAAAACATAAATTGTAAACTTAATACAACTATTGAAGTTAACAAAATTGAGCAGCAGTGTAAACAGTATGGATGAAAAAAAAAGTTATGCAATTGTCACTTTCAAAAAATAATTTATAACTTGTAATTTTAATTAATAAAGGAAACTATTTCAAAATGTTGCTTTCAGCTGAAATGATCACATCCCTTTAACTATTACAATTAATAGAGAAAATTATTACAATTTAGTAGAATTAGGGAAAGCTACAATTTTTATTTGTTCATTTTACCATAAATAGCTAGTTTGATTAACTTAAAATAAGTGTTTTAACACTAAGTAATTTTTAAAATAGTTTTATTTTTTAAATAAGACTTATTTATTAACAAGTACATATTTCTAAAGTAAACATATTTAACAAACACATAAAAAGTTAAAATTTACTTATTTTTATAAGAAAAATATGTATAAAAAAACTCACAATAGAAATAGTCATTTCTTTATGAATATAAGATGCTTCAGATATAAATGTTACTACGTGTTTATAGAACGATATTTTTATTATTATTATTATCATCTCCAGTAATAAAATTAATAAGATCTGTTAAAGAAAGGGATAATTTGTTTATTAAAAGGAATTGTTTATTTTTAATATATTTTTTTTTCTTAATTTCAAAATGAACGATAATGTAAGGAAGAAAAAGTGTAGGGCTGAACCAGAGGTGTGGCACCCACCCTTCTGTCTTCCATGGAATTTGTTGCAAGCTCTGTGAATGCTTCTTCTTCTCTTCGTTGCTGTCATAATACGCCTTTTCCTGCTATCTCTATTCCTAAGGTTCTCTTTCTATTTCTCACTGTTCCCTTATCTTCTCATCACTTTCACCACTTTTTCTAATCCATTTCCCTGTTTCATTCCCACATTCTGTTTGGTTTCTGAGAATAAAAAAATTGTTTTTTAATGTTACCCTTTACTTATTTGTCTCTGTAATAAGCCAATTTATAGATATATGATCAATGAGAGGACATGATTATTTTGATTTGAGTAATACAAGTACATAATGAATTGTAATTTGTACTGTCTGCAGGTGTCACAATGGAAATGTTTTTCATTAAGGGTTTTGGAATCTCGGTTTCCGTTGGCACATAGCAGGAATAAATGTGTTGGTTATAGAAATAGGGATTCTGGAAGAGAATTTTCAGTTGGAGTTGTGTCACGGATAAGCAGCATCTGTTATCCTCAGTGTAGCTATTTTCCATCAAGTTGGGGTTTCTTTGCCAAAAGGACGAAATATAATAGTCTTCTGAGACTGAAGGATTGTTCAGAAAACATAAGACAGCGTGCTTCTATTCTATTTGTGCGGCTGGTTACTGGAGTGATGTTGGTCAAGTCTGTTTCTCTGGCTTCTACTGAGCCATCATGTGAGTCACCTTGATTTTGAGCTACGGTTCAAATTCAAAACATATCTGGACAGTGAGTTTTTTATAGAATTTTTTTAGTTTTGTCTTAACCTTGTATTTTTCTTTTTTGGTTCTTTCTTCTAGGGGGGCTGTCTGAAGAGAATCTTCTCTTTCTGGAGGCGTGGAGAACAATTGACCGAGCGTATATTGATAAAAGTTTTAATGGACAAAGTTGGTTTAGGTATAGAGAAGATGCACTTCGCAATGAACCAATGAACAATCGAGAAGAAACATGTATAGCTTTCATTCTCAACCTTTTTTCATATTTTTTCAACTTGCTGCATAGTAACAACATTCTGTGATGGTAAATTTTCTGTTTTCGAGATAGGAAATCAGCCATGCTTGCCTGTTATTAACTTTTCTTCGAATAACTTTGTGTCTACTTTATAAGTAGTACGAGGTTTTAATTAAATTTGGGCGAAATTTTAGCTCAGACAATGAAAATTTGATTGAAAATGTTTTCAAGTTATACAAATTATACTTATCTATAAACATCATGTTTTGAAATGCACTTGATATCTGATGATTTAACCTCCAAGTAAACTGCTCAGAATTACTTTTGCTCTGATAGCATCATGAACACAATCACTTTATTGATTCTGGGTTTTGAAGATAAGTAGACCTAATTTGATTAGGTTCCAGTTTGGATACTAATTGATAAACACTTATAAGAGAAGAAAATAAGAAAATTTAATAAATCAAACTAGTCCATTACAACAGCAGCAACAATAAAGTTTTATCTCATTAGGTAAGGGTCAACTACATGGTTCACATGATGTCATTCATTATTGTTAAAGATCAAGGCTTCAAGGATAGTATATACGAAGAAATCTCTCTTCACAACGTCCTTCCATATCCTTCTTGGTCTCCATCTCCTTCTTTTCCAAGGTCTAGGAATCTTGCAAACTTGATTTAACTTTTCCAGAACATGAGGTGTGAAACTTGATTTTAAATTATAGGAGAAGTTTAATTCACCTCCCTATTTTTTTTTCTCGTAAGTTCTTAATGAGATGTTTATTTGAACTAGACCCAGAGTAGAGTAATTGAAGTTTTATATAACATGGATATTAAATACATTCATCTTGAATTTTACTCAAGTTCCTGGTTTTCTCTCCTCTGGTAGGTTATATTCTTGTAAGTGCCTACAATGTGTATCTATGTTTTCTGATTTTCTCCCTCAAGTTTTGATTCCTACATTACTAAATTCAGTAAATTGTATTAATTGGTGTCTGCAAATTAGGTTTGTAACTCTAATTTATACACATATATCCAACAAAGTAACAGAAAGACTGGTAGAATGCTTAACCATTGATTCCAATAAATGGTTCTCAGGACACAGTGATGAAAAATAATGCCACTAAAATTTTCTTGAATGCTGAGAACTAATTGTAGATAAGCCACTTATACGTGAATTATGATAAACAACTTATATTTCTTGTAAAATTGAAGGATCAAACATGAGTGAATAATGACTAAAATTACGCAATTGGTAACTTATTGACTTGCCTTCATTGTCCAGATGGATCAACATAACTGTGGAAATTTTTGTTAACCATTGAATGTTGATTTCTATCTTCAATAAACGAAGGTTGCACTGTTTCTTAATAAGTTGCATACATGGTTATGATAATATATCTCAAATCTAGTACGATTGCACCATTCGTTGTAGCACCAGTTTACCTCAAATTGATGTCATTGCATTTGAACACAGATAAGGCAATAAAAAAGATGCTTGCCACATTGGATGATCCATTCACCAGATTTTTGGAGCCTGAAAAGCTTAGAAGTTTGAGGGTAGAATTCTCTCGTTTTAAGTTTTCCTTTTACTTATTTTACTCACTGTCCTGGCTGCATATTGCATAATACGTTTGACCAACCTAGCAGAATATATGCTTCCCTACACATTAATCTCTAGCACTAATGTTTTATTGAAGGCAGTCTGGAACTCAAGGCGCTTTAACAGGAGTGGGGATATCAATAGGCTACCCATCAAAGACTGATGTGCAAACTGGTGGACTTGTTGTCATTTCAGCTTCTCCAGGAGGTCCTGCATATAGAGCTGGTGTCTCATCTGGAGATGTTATTCTGGAAATTGATGATACAAGCACAGAAAACATGGGGCTATATGATGCAGCTGAGCGCTTACAGTGGGTTTTTCTTCTACATTTCACTTATGCCTTCAAATAAATATTTTCCTCCACAAATGGGAGGGGGCATAAAAAGATTAAAAAAATTATCGTGAATATTGTGCAGAAAGACTGAGAAATAGGACTGCATTTAGTTCTTAAAACTTTTCCAACAAGTTAAAATTGTAGCACCATGTTGATATAACTATAAATATTGTATTCTGTTTTTTATCTGCTGACTGCCATCTTAATTTTACAAGATTGACCCTCATTCATTGTCTGTCTTTTTATTGTTACTCTAATATGAGAGCCAGTTGTAAGGTTTTAGTTACTTGATTGAAACAAAAATGCAAATTTAAGCTTTCATTATTTGCCTTGAAATTATCAATTGATTGCCTTACCTTTTAAAATTAATTGCAGGGGACCGGAAGGAACCTCTATAGCTTTGACTATTCGGAGTGGTTTGGACATAAAACACCTGGAATTAACGTTAGTTTCATTTCCAAACAGAAGTAAATTCGAAGTGTAGGCCTTTGAGCATATTTTTGTTTTTTGTGATGATTTAGAAGGCTTGTAGTTTGATAATGCTTTATTACGATTAGCCACATTTATATTGTTAACTCTTTTTTGTTACCGTTGTCAGCCCTCCTAAATTTTTTTCTGTTTTAGCTGTAGTATCGTACCTGGTGGTAAGCTTAAATAATGTTTACTTTTTCTTCCAAAATTTCAATTATTTCTAATTAAAAAACTAACGCCAGAGTATCTGCATATCAGGCGTGAGAAAGTTTCTGTGAATCCAGTGAAGTCAAAACTGTGCAAGCTACCTGCTTCAGGAAATGATCCCCCGACAGTTGGTTATATCAAACTAACATCTTTTAATCAAAAGGCTTCAAGTAAGTACCAATTGGAGGGTTAAGCACGATTTGTCTTGCTTCTTTACTGCTATGGAAAAGGATCATTTTTAACTAATATATGCTTTATTCATGTGACATTTGTTTGAACCTAATATTTCAAGGCATAGTTCTTACTACGCTCAGCAGTTTGGTCTGGGTAAGAGCTACAAAGTGTCTCTAGTGAACCATTTGTACTCCTCTCCTTCAGGAATATGCAGTTCAACCATTTACTTTTTTTTTTCATAAATTAAGATCAATAAGAATTTTCACTGTTTTATGGAGTATACATCACTGAACTGAAGTGAAGCAATAAATGTGAAGATATCCAAAACTAGTCTTGAGCATTCTATGCATGCTTTTCATCATCCTATCTGTGTTTATGTTTGATATCTTATAAAGTTGCATTGTACTTCACTTTCAATTTAGATTAAGTATGATTTACATTATTGAATATATTGATAATTGGTTCTTTTTTTCTTTGATGATGAAAAAGGTTTCTGTATCTTACTTTTCCTTTCTTTCTGGTGGATGTGCCTCCCTGCAGGTGCTATCAAAGAAGCAATCAATACATTAAGGAGCGATAATGTTAATGCATTTGTTTTGGACCTAAGAGATAATAGGTGATTCGGCAATGAACATTTCCCATTATGTACTTTCAATCACTAGCTTTCTGAAGCCTTTTATTTGTTGCAGTGGTGGTCTTTTCCCAGAAGGAATTGAGACTGCCAAAATTTGGTAAGATAGGATTATCAACTATTGACAAATTTACACCTTATATTATGTATCATTTTTCTTTGGTGGCACTTGAAAATATGCTTGATGCTACGGGTTATAGGCTTTCCATGTCTGTATAGGTCACTCCATCATTCTTATCTTTTATAGATCAGAAGTGTTCAAACAATATTATCAGAAACACCTCGTAATATTTAAAATTATTTGCCTAACTAAAATAGGTTGTGAAATTCTTTAAATTATCAATAATCCAGACACCCTCCAGCATTATCTTAAAATTTTCTTTTACGTAACTATCTTGCGTTCAGCTTTGAGTTCTAGTTAAAAAAGATAAGTTCTAATGGATATTATCAACCAGGTTGGACAAAGGAGTAATTGTGTATATTTGTGATAGTCGTGGTGTTCGAGATATACTTGATACAGATGGAAGTAGTGCACTGGCAACATCAGAACCCCTGGCTGTACTGGTATGTCTTTCCTCTGTTGCATCAGTATCGAGTAAAGAGTTGGCCAAAATGAATAGTAGAGAGATATCATAGTTCTTGTGGTCTCGTAGGTTTTCATGGGCAAGTTTCTTAAACATGATTTTACAGACCTTGCAAGTACTGAGGTCTAGTTGTGTCTGGCATGAGAAGGAGCTTTCAAGAGAGTCAAGTGGCATTGAACAGAGATGCAACGCTAATAATTAGTTGGGGTGTTTGAGAATTCCATTGACTCATTACATCACAATTAAAATATTCTCTCATGTCATTGTGGTCGACAGATAACTTTTCAAACTATCTAAGTTTTGTTTGCATTTTTTTTTTCCTGTAACATAGTATGCACAACATCTGAAACTCTATCATTAACAATATGCATCTATATTGTACACTAGTTTTCCATGCATTAGGCTTGATTCCTCCATAATTGAGACGTTGGACGGTTCCTACCTGTTGCTTAAATACTCAAAGAGCTTGTGTTGTACTTACATGTGCTTTGTACAAGTTGAGACTGCATCTTGTCAGAATTTAATGTACAAGTTTAAGGATCTTTTTAGAAAAGAACGAGATCGAGATAATGTAGGAATTTTAGGGATGTGAGTGGTTTGAATTTTGAGGATGGCAAATAGTTGTCAGGATTATTTGTAGACTACACTGTGAAGTATGGCTTGATTATTGTTTTCCAGTCATGGGAATATTTAGGGAGTTGTTCTACCTGATGTCAGCTAGGTTTATAAACGTTATGAAGATGTCAAAGTAGGGAGTAAACATAATGCAGTTATTACGTAATTGTTACCTAAACAATTTGTTTATTGTGTTCATGGTTCATTCCTCCAGAATTCCAATTTGTTATTCACTCATTTGTATAGTTAAGAGTAATTAAATATCTGGTGCCTGTTTCAGGTAAACAAGGGAACTGCAAGTGCCAGCGAAATATTAGCTGGTGCATTGAAAGACAATAAACGGGCCATATTGTTTGGAGAGCCAACATATGGAAAAGGGTACCTACTTTTGGTTAAACTCAAACCCGACAAACTAAATTTTATGTCATTTTCCTAATGTGAGCTATACACATTGCAGGAAGATCCAATCAGTTTTTGAGCTCTCAGATGGCTCTGGATTAGTTGTTACAGTTGCTCGCTATGAGACACCTGCACATACAGATATTGACAAGGTTTGCCCTTGATTTTACACCTCTTAAAATGGTTTCCCCCTACTAATACCCACCATTTCCATGTAGGTTGGCGTCATTCCTGACCATCCTCTGCCTTTGTCATTTCCTAAGGATGAGGATGCATTTTGTAGTTGCCTCCAAGATCCTGCATCTTCTTGCTATGTTAACAGGGTCCAGCTGTTTTCACAATGACATTTTTTGAAGATTGTTGTACATTAATTATTGTGAAGCATTACAATTCTTTAACAGAACATAAAGTTTTAGGGGCTTATTATTTTATTGAGCAAACATTGTCGCCTCAAATATCACGACTAGAGACTCTGTTCCCGAAATCAACTAAGGAACGGAAAACAGATGAGTGTACCTGAATTAGAATTGCTCACAATGTGTGAGATGTTATTAGGGGGTGAATATTGCTGAAAAATTATGAATATTTTTATCCTTCAAACATCAAATATTAAATAATAAGTAAAAGAATATTTAGGTTTCAATAATCTTCAAACTTCTAAAGAAGGGGCTTTTTAATTGAAGATGTTTCAATTTGACACTGCTAAATTTTGTATTGTAACTTCGTTATTAAACTGTACTGATATATTGTGTAAATACGATTAACTTAACGACGTGACGCACGAATTAGAAACAAATTATTTGGTTACAGTTTTTTACCGGAATAAAAATTAAAAAACTTTTCAGTTCTCAAACATTTTAAATGGTCCATCTAGATGCTATCACTGATGAAATGGAGAAGTATTCAACTTTCTACAACTAGATATATTCTCAGATCATCCATTTATTTTGAAATGTGTAAGAAAGACCTGTTGGATAGGTCTATATTGTTTTCAATTGATTTAAATTGAAATAATCTTTTATAAAATATGCTGAATGTTCGAAACATCTGTTACAATTTTACGAAAGGTTTTCTTTAGATAACATTTGATGAATTAAAAGATCATCGTTCATAAATATTTTTAACAGTTCCTTTTTTCTTTTCACAACTACACATTTTTATCATGTATAAAAAACAAATTTATGTCCAAACAAAATAAATTACCTTAAAGTAACCTTTCTGCAATTATCCCGAACCCATCCTTAGTTTCTCAACAAAAAAGAAAAAGACTTTCAAAACTATTGTTAAATTAATTTTTGATCGCTATATTCTGATTTGACGATCATTAGAAAGCTTAAAACTGTTGCATCACGACAATAACCAAACGCATTAGAAGGGCACAACGTATGAAAGTTCATAAACAATATCGTTTTCTAATAACTCAATTTCATGATAAGGATATTTCACGCAACAGCACACATACTTAAAGCTAGCTATAACCAATTCCAACACAATTAACATCAAGTCTTCCAAAAATCCAACATCACTAAATCTAATTTTGATGTTCAATCTAATAAACTACAGAAATTTGCCTTCATCCCTTGAGTGCCAAATTCTACAGCTTTAACATTCAACAGGGGTAATGAAGTGATCAAACTATCCGCATCATACATTCTACAGCGTTAACTGGCGAGGGCATCAAACTTCTGTGAAAAGGAAGCTTTATGTTCTTGCTTCACCAACGAAAATTATTACAATGGCAAATTAACAACGCCTGCTCTCATAAATAAATGTGATCACCTATCAAACTGTGAATGTGCACTAGTATGGCCTGTATCGTGTGGGTCTTCTATACCTTGGAACCCTTCTGCAGGAAAAAAATAATAAATTATACAAGGTCCGGGGAACAAAGAATAGAATTCTATCCAAAAATCAGAAAGAGTTACAGATCAGAGAAATCAAAACATACATTGTCATTAAATTAAACCTTTTCACATTATCGAGTTCAAATCAAGTGATATCTATTCTCACTTGATGATATGATTTATTCTCCTCTAATTGTGAGAACAGATTTGACTCAATAACGTGTTGCGTGCATCTATGGTTTTCTTCGTTTTTTTTTCAGTGGGTTGGGAGTGCGGTGTTCTCTCACATGGTATTGCTACGTCTTTTGGGTGCAGAGCTAGTCCCCACTTAGCATCTGATGGCATTATCCTGGCCAAAGTGCTGTCGGCAGTATTCAAACTCTAGTACTGAGTAGTAAAGCTCACTAATATGGAACTTAAATCTATGTAGTTTTAAATTGGATTTACATCCTTTCGTGTAAGAAATACGTAAGTTAATGTTGAGAAAGAATCACAATAATTATAATTTGCCCCAACATGTGGGTAGGGCCCGTTAAAAAAGTCTAAAAAAAAGACTAATAGAATTAAAAAAAGTCTAAAAAAATTGTATTACTTTCTTATATGTTTCTGTGTACGTATGTATATGTGCCCATAAGAATAAAAAACAAATAGATAAACGAAGCATTTGCTTTGCTGTTAGGATTGCATATTGAACATGAGGTTCCTATAGCCTAACACCTACAAGCAAATATATTCGTTACTTTGAAACAACAGAAATAAGGCACCATTTAAATGAAAAAACTTTTTACTAAGTCATCAAAATTCACAAAACATAGACGGGAAAGAGAAAATGGATCAAAGATAAATTATTCATTTTATCCAGTTTTTAATAATTGCTTACCCATAACTATACGGTGGAAAGAATGGAGCAGGCATGAAAGGCCTCCTAGATCGGAAACCAGTAGGCCTTCTGCCATAATACTGCTTCATTCCAGGAACGTTTGTACGCTTGGCTGAGACCTGAAGGGAAAAACAGATTTCAAGTATAGCCAAAGAAACAGGGAATGATTAATTTGAATTTACAAAGATTAATTGATGGTGAAGAAGACCTTTAGTTGTCGACCATGCAATTCTGATTCATTTAACAGGAGAGCATTCTGAACTGCATCAATCTCCACAAATTCTACATAAGCAAACCCTTTTGGTTGACCAAATTTGTCTGTCAGTATGGTAACCCTGTTCACAGTTCCACAGGACTGAAAATGCTGCTGGACTTCTTCAGGCGTACATGCATAGTCAACCTGAAACATAATTTTGAAACCAGACAAAAAAAGTAAAACACTATTAAAGCTATATAAGATTATAATTAAATTAAAAGCATCCAACAGAAAAGTTAAACATGCGGTAGACAAGTGACCATAAGAAGCACTAGTCCTATCACATTCAGGTTACCAAATACATTAATGTCATTTTGTGAAAAGTAGAAAATGGATTAAGTTTTAAGATTAGCATCAACATGAAGTCCGTATGAGGTTGGTCTGAATAATCAATAATAGGTCCCGTTATAATTCATAAGATTTCCATAATAATTGCAAATGATAGGTCTTGCAGCCTTAAGAAGATGCATAAATTTGTTTTTTTTTTTTAATTTACTTAAGTATTTCAGTGAATCTACACAATATAGGTTTCACCAAATCTTGCAGCCTTAAAACTTTCTAGGAAAAGGTCTAATTTTTCAGAGATGTCTAGGGTCATCACATTTCAGCTACGAGGGTCATAAGCATAGAGTTGTAAATTATGAATAGTGGCTGACTTCAACAACACTGTAACAAGGTAGATATGGCTGTTAAACTGAAGATAATATTATACATATTAAATTTATACTACTCACATGCATTATACTTGTGGTTCACCCACTTCTGACATTGACAATACTATTGTTGTATGAAAAGGAATATATTGTAAAACACAGTAATATTTTAATGTTAGATTTTATAATGAATTAGACGTGACATCCATAAATAAAAGTTATACAGTTATTTCTTAGTCCATTCTGACATCTAAGTCTTCTAAAACTCCTCACACTACATTCCCTCTGCATTAAGGAATTCACGTGAAATTTGGGTCTGGGTTGCTCTCAGGCAAAGTATCACTACAGCAACATGTTCTCACTTGGGCGAGGCCAAGCATTGTACATTAATTGGACTAACAGCCTTAAGTTCCTCAAGTGATGGGTTGGTCATTCAAGCATCATGGTATATAGCTAAAGTGAGGGCTTGTAGAAGACAACTTTCTCTTCTCTGAAAGATCATCGCTCAAGCATTAGGCTAGACACTTGTGCGATGTGGCATGTGGCTCAAGCATTGTTTTTCAATGCTTACGTGTGGCATGAGGCAAAGTACACATGTCATAGAATAAAGTACTACATGACACATAGCCTTGGTCCTCAAGCATTGGTTGGCCACTCAAACATTACAAGACAGTGAATGGCCTTCTGGAAATGGTTGGATGATGTTTCAACATATGAATGTCATTCAAGCATTAGCTGCAACACTCAAGCTATGGACACTTAAGTGATAAGACGACCATTGGAGCAAGGATAGCTTTGGGAGGGTGCTGCTCTCAAATTGCACTTCGCTCAATCGGTTAGACCTTTGCTCAATCAAAATGGTTAATGCTTTGTGTATGTTGCTAAGGTTGCTCAAGTGTGACGTTATGTCAGGCTTGATGTTTGCATATTTGGTGTATGCTTCTATACATGTTTTATTGATGATATGATGTATAAAAGGTGAGATTAATTATATATTCTCTGGATAGATATATGATTAAAGTTGAGATGCATGACATATGTCCTTCTTGGGTGACTCTTCGTGGGTGGTGGATCCTAGATATATTGCTATATACATGTATACGCATCGGTAGGCACTAGATGGGTGACCTGATTGGCCGGTTTGCATGGCCCTAATGAGTGATATAGAGATACCCATGATGTTTGAAGATATCACTACTAGAATTGTCAATTCTAGTATGTAGTTGGCAGACATTCACTAAATCTCTAAAAGGACCAAGGATCAATCACAGTTGAGGCAAGCTGAGGACGACTTAAATGTCCTAGCTTGGGGAAAAGTGTTATAACTATAGAAATAAGGATAATATCTTTATAATAAGAAATATCGAGATAAAATGTATAATATTTTAGGATCGTATATTTACTATTAGAGGAAATCAAATATCCTAATATTTATTGTATTGATTTCTTTTTGTCAATATAAATAAGCCACTCATGTCACAGAAACACAAGGTTTCAGTTCAATGCTTCTCATTATCTTTATAGTTTGAAGTTTGATGTGAATCATGGAAGAGATATTAGAGAAAATAGAAGGGGGAAGCACATGCATGTATAAACTATGGATAGAGATACTAGGAGAAGAAGTGGAATTGACAAAGTTAAGGGTCTCAGAAACACAAAGTCTGGAAAATGAGTCATTTATCAGAGATTATTGATGACCTACTGCATAATTCTTTGAATACTAAAGGGTTTTGAAATCATTCTTCTACATGATGCAGAAAAAATTATGAAATTTCAAAACAATTCTAAAGAAACCTGAAGTACAATCAACCAAATGATGGCAAAACAAACATTTATGGACTATGAATATAGTCTGCTAGAAGGAACAAACTTCATACAGTCAAGGGTCTTCCAAAAGTAAAAAGCAAAAGCTTTGCTGGAAAATGAGTCATCAGCGAAAGAGA